TGTCCTATGTGTGCTCATGACATTAAAAATAATGTTTATGTTTTGTAGCCCTCTGGATCGACATCAACAACTACAACGAAGAGTAAAAATGTTCGAGGTCCCAAAAAGCCATTGGAGGGTCGCTTCATCATCTCAGAGTTCAATGTGGATACAGGAGAACCGGGGGGGCCGAATAAAATGAAATTTGTGCACCACTGTGGTTACCTTGTACGGGACCGACTCCCGATTAGTACCCGTGAATGGAAGAAGAAGACCAATGCTCCTCATATCAGTTTTGTCTCCGATCGTGACAAGGCGTTAATTTGGAATGATGTCTTGGTACATTTCACGCTCCAAACAGATGATTATGATGATATAATAGATGGTGATGAATTGAAGGAGCGAGTTAGGGATTGGGCAATGAAGAAGATGGCCACCCAGTTTCAGACTTGGAAGAAACACCTATACACGACGTATGTCAAGAAGAACATAGCACCAGATTTTACTGTCCCAGGCCCGATCTCAAAGCAGAGGCCCTATTGGGATGAGTTTGTACAGTACAAGACTTCGGAAGAGGGTGTGAGTCGGGTGATAAAGAACCAACATAATGCCCAACAGAAGACATACCACCATACCTTGGGATCAGGTGGCTACCCGACTGCCATTAAGAAGTGGAACAAAATGGAAGCAGACCTTCTTGCCAAGGGTATCAGACCAGAATCACTCGAGTGGGGAGAACGTGCAAAGAATTGGTTTTTCGGTCATGGGGGAACACTAGACCAGGAGACAGGGAAGTGCGTTTATGGCGCAAGACTGCAAGAAGCAGCAGAAAGATTGCTTTATGCTCAGAGAGCTATCGCTAGTGGTGCGTTCAGGGCCAACAGAGAGAAGGATGAGTGACGACACGCCCATCGGGACTATTGAACATGGTGGCCGAACTAGAGGCAAAGGAAGTGTCTCGTGGGAGCATGGATTCCCTCAGGACAGACCTTCCTACAGAAGTCGCCAGAGAAAGAAGGAAGAAGAGGCACAGCGGCTCCAGAGGTTGGAGGAAGCGGTGCGTGAAGCACGAGAGAGCGGAAAAAAACCTTGAAGCGAGAATGCAGGAGGAAATCAAAAGGCAAGTGCAAATAGCAAAGTGAGTGCAAGCAAGCGAGCATCGAGCCAGAATCAACATTAGCCAATACATTCAGCTTGAAAAGCAGCTGCGCTTCCACGGAGATACCAAATCAAGGGACACGGATTGCGCTTCCCCTGTGGATGACGTCATTGAACCTTGTACAACGTGTGAGCTACACATTCGAAGGAGAATTCCACAATCAAGGTGGCTATCGGTCTTGTTAATCCTATCGACCGAACCAAGACACCAAGGATTCATGGGAATATAATCCAAGAAGGATATGCCACCATCTCGGTAGATAAAGCTGAAAAAGGTTTTAGTGATTTGCCTCTTGACATTCCTGGAGGTGATGGCGAGAAGACTCTAGGAGAAGCGGAGAAGACATTCATTCTATGGCGCAAGCGCTTACATCATCATTCCGGGGATGTCGGCTCCACCTCCTCTGAACTACCTCACCATAGGTATGTGCGGATGAAAACACTACATCTTTAATTTGTATTGGCTTAAATAATTAACAATCTGCTCATAATAATATGTCATTCCTTTTTTTGTAGCAGATCCTCCCCCAATCTAAATCCAATTGTTCAATCGCCAGATCATCATAGTGCTCTGTACGATGACATTGTGTTGGAAGACGAGGCTGCATCCACACCCTCTCCAAGGAGGTCTCAACGCGCCAGCAGCCGCCACCTCCAAGGAGGTCTCCAACATGGCCGCCAACACCTCCAAGGAGGTCTCCAACGCCACTGCCAACACCTCCAAGGAGGTCTCCAACGCCTCCCCGCCCCGCCTACCAAGAAGCCTAGCAAGAGGTCAGCCCCTCAAGCGAAGAACCACCCCCTTTGCAAAGAAAGCCACCGTGAAACCAAGGGTTATTCCCAAAATAATATCTCGAAGAGAAGGAAGAAGGAACTGATGCATATAAAAAGACATGTCTAGATTCTATGACAAACTTAAAATGAATCAAGAAGCAAGGAGAAACCGGAGAAACCGTACTTCTTCAGTAGCTCAGGATATTTTAAGAAAAAGGTGATTTCTTACCGGCATCAACAATGGGGAATCTCGTAAGCCGTCCAAATCAACGTTATCGGACTATGACCGCACTCTCACCAAGTCAATTGAGGCGACACAGAAAAAGAAGCGGGCAGGGAAAGGAGTTGCCAACTCGGACAACAAGCGCACCAATCAATCCCCCCGCTAGTTGTTGGTAATGAATATGGTTCGAATTTAGGATTAATGCATCAGGCAAACATACCTCCGGATGTCGATTTGGATCACCTTGGTGAATTTCTTGATGAGACTGGTCTCGACCTTTACCAGATGTTTGGTGATGGAAACATTGAGAGTGCGGCGGAGGTTGATATTTGGAAGAAAAAATTTGTACTAGGCCAGAGTCTATACAACCCTCAAGCCTTATCTGATCTGGGGACGCAAATGTACCGCTAAACAAGTGGTACACATGCAGGCGTCTACCGGTGGAGACTTTCTAACGTTGGTGTCGTAATTAGAGAGGCGAACATTGGTTCCGTATGGCGATGATGTTATGTATGTTGACTTTGCAGAATTTCATCAACTATGCCACCTGACCTCTCTGGACAAAGTTATCATTAGCTGCTATTGCCTGTAAGTAATAATTCTTTTGATCTATTATTAAACTCATCATATGTGTGTATATGCATATAAATTATCCTAACAAGTACTATATATATGCAGATTTACAATGTGAGCTCGAGAAAGGAAGGCTGCAATGAAATTGGTTTTGTTGATCCCCATATAGTATTCAAAGACCCAATTACTCCAATGACTAATTGGAAGTCTGAGTCAGAGAGTAACCTCATGAACTTCTTAGTGAACCAACGCCACAAGAAGGATATACTCTTTCCCTATAACTTCAAGTGAGTGTTAATCATGTCGATCATAGCCTTAATGGCTCATATGTTGATTCTAGTTAATTAATGAGTGTTATGCGTTATATCCTATAAACACATGCAGCAATCACTGGATATTGATGGACATCGATCTGGTGAAAAGTCACTTGATAATCTATGACTCGATGAGAAAACCACAACAAGACTACCAAGATATGATAGATATTATCCAGAGGTAATTTCGAGATCTCTAGCAACTATATATACACACAAACATGATGATTAACTATATCTGATGACGTGGCAAATTTTTTATTGGGCAGTGTTTGGAAAACCTTTATTGAGAAGCAACACATGGAAAAATGCAAAGCGCCCATTGAATGTAATCCTTTGAAAGTAAGTCCCACGAATCGCATCATCTTTATTAATTCAACATATAGCTTTCACCGGATCACCAGATTGGATGACAAATCTTTTTCTCGTAAAGTGGTGTCTAAAGGCGAGAACAGGGAACAACTACATGTGGTTACTATGTTTGCAAGTTTATCAAGGTGCTCTCCCAAAGAACTCCTACAGAGAGACTCAAAGTACGTTAAAATACACTATATATTCATTTAATTATTATTATTGATTGTGTTACTATGTCTTTATATATATATATATGTACATATATTAATTTATTTTCCTTTAATTCAAACCTGTAGACTCGATGGTTGGAGGAAAAGGTCATACGGCAAGACCAAATCAAAGCAATTCAAGAGTCTATAGCCCGGATTTTTTAATGAGCAGGTCATCGATTCAAAGGGCGAGTTCTACTTCGACCCAACACTGCCATTGAAGCCAAGCTAGAGGATGAGAAGAAACTTGTTATGTCACAACAACTATAATGCAATCTTTTGTAATATATGCACATGAAATAATATAATGTAAAATACACATATGCATGCATGCATGTAAATATATATATGATGCATGCATGCATATATATATATATATATATATATATATTTCTATGATTGAATTGTGTGATTTAATACGTTCATTGTGCTTGACCGAAACATACTATATGCGCGTATAAATGTATAATTAGCAGCGTACAATACGACTTCGAAAACCTATTTTGAAAAGAAAACAAAAAAATGAAAAGAAAAGAAAAAAGAAAAAAACCTTTAGTCCCGGTTCGTATTACCAACCGGGACTAAAGGTGCCGGCCATCGTGGCATGTCAGGAGGCACCTTTAGTCCCGGTTGGTGTTACCCACCGGGACTAAAGGTCCTCCTTTAGTCCCGGTTCCTGACCCGGGACTAAAGGACCCCCCCTTTAGTCCCGGATGCTTGCTCCCGGGTGGGGAACCGGGACTAGAGGGGGTTCCCCACCGGGAGTAAAGCTCGGTTCTGTACTAGTGCGGTCGGTCACTTTGGCTTCTCCATATGCAGGCTATATTAACTGAATACAATCTCTCAGTCAGTGGCAAGTTTCTGTGTCAATGTGTCAGCTACGCGTACTGAAGCTGCTGACTACTAGCTATTTGGCTGCTGTACGAGGCGAAACCATGGATGTTTCTGTAGCGTTGCTACCTTTTCCTTTTCTTGTTTTTTTGCTGGCTGCAGGGGCCACCTCGTGTGCCTCGTGCGTACATAATGGATGCATTATTGGTGAACGGTGGAGCAGCTACGATTTCTTGGCACCGTCCATCATCATTATTTTCCTTTTTCTTTTTTTGTTTAATTATATGCCTAGCTAGCTAAAGGCTAATAATAATCCTGATGAACACACACACATGGTGCCTGCAGGTAGCAGCTCGATCTATAAATACCTCACCGGTGCATAGCTCGCTTAACCACCAGCAGCAGCACAAGAAGCCATACATATCGCCTTGAGCACACCGTGAGTGTGCCATCTATACCCTGCGTTGGTTTTGCAGTAATTTAGTCGTCGTCATAGTTTGTTTCCTTTCAATTCGCAGGCCACGACAGCACAATCAACTGATCACCTAGATATTCGCAGGTTGCGACTCCCGACCGACGACGATCATGAGCTCCACGGCAGCGGCAGGGGTAGCACCGGAGTGCGGCGGCACCAAGACATCGTGGCCGGAGTTGGTGGGGCTCAGCGTGGAGGAAGCCAAGAAGGTGATCCTCAAGGACAAGCCCGACGCCGACATCGTCGTGCTGCCCGTCGGCTCGCCGGTGACCAGGGATTATCGCCCAAACCGGCGTGCATCATCTTCGTCGACACTGTCGCCGAGACGCCCCATGTCGGCTGATAAGCTAGCCGCTGCCTAGCTTCCTTCCGTGCTCGGAACCTGAATAAATGGATGCATGTCAGTGCATCTGCCGGATAATGGATGTATAAGTGTGTTTCTTCCCTACTATAAACTTATCACTAAATAATGGCATCGCTTTGCATAAATAAATAAATGTATCGAAATGCCGTCGTCCTTGAATGAATGAATGAATATATGAAACGGGATCAGTTGCTTGTGTCGACGGCAAAAAGTGGCCGACACATGTAATAGACTTCACCATGAAGTTTACGGCATCAAGATGGTCAAGAAAGATATTAGAAGAAAAGGGTACAAAAGTATTTTCTCTACCATCTCTCTCTTTGAATATGAGAAATGAACAAAAAATAATCGGTGCGGTGCGTTACGGCAAAGATACACAATTTTATAATGATATTGGACAAATTTTCAAGTTGGTGTTGTCCGTCTGCATGTATACTTACCGAAAATTTTTACTATGGTTAGGGAGGCGTCAGGAAGCGTTAGATGTGTCAATGATTGGTGGGCCCATATGAGGGAAGGCGTTGAGAGGCGTCAATGAGGGAGGCGTTGGATGTGTCTATGGTCGGTGGGCCCATATGCGCCATAACGCCTCCAAAGTTGAGAGGATTAGGACTTCAAATAAAAGAGTGGTAATTCCTTTCTCGTAGTTATTTTTTTTTAATCAAGGGTAAAAGCGGTAAATGCACAATTATAAAAATAATGTTTTGAGTAGTATAGTTGGGATGTATGATTTAAGTACTATAGTTTGATGAATATTTGCTTTTAAAAAAGATGAATATGTTTGTCTTTTTAGGGTTCATTCACACCGCCGTCGTCTCGCCATCCATCCGTGGGAGGACCTATATCTTGAAAACGACCATAATGCCTCGGACGAATAAAATCAACAAAAATAGCTATTTTGGGTAGGCATCGAAAGCAGCATCAACAAGCGTTAGGAAGCATTTCCAACCACCGTAAAAGGGCTCATACTTACCACACATTTCTCCAATATCCTATAGTAAAATTTCTTGAAAAACAAACATTTTTAAAAGTTGAGGAGTTAAAATCCGGTTATGCGAATAAATGGAGGAGTCGGACTATCACAAACTAAAATTGATGTGGTCAAAAGAACTGTTAGCCCTGGGTAGGGAAAAGACTTGATTGAGGAAGGGAAAGAATGGCAGACAGAGGAAGATGAGATGTAGTTCGAAGCGATGAATGATTAACTGGGTTCAGAGTTTATTACAAATTGTCTATCTCCTTTTGGAGATGTTCTCCAACTTATACCCCTCATGTTACATGCACGCACACACACAACGCTTACAAGGCTAGGTACATCCGGTGCTTTTTTTTTATTGAGGGAAAGTCCATTCAGAGCACGAGGCACGGACCTAGGGTTCGCCCGGTCAGGTAAATCCGCACTCTCTCTGCACCGTTAGCGTATATATCTAGCTAGTTTACAGATTGATAGCTTGTTAGAGTACCTATGTTCTCTAAATATTTTGTAGGCGGCTGTGTGAATCTTGATACGCAAAGGTCAAGGGTTCTCTCAGGATTGTGGATCAATTTGGTGTAGGGATATTGAAAATTAATAGAAACTTCATTTATAGGAAAAAAAAAATTCCGCCACCATACCACAAGCATAGCATTTGGGGTAAATTAATGATACAGCTTTTTAGATCGATGATAGATCCACCATGCACCAATCGGTCGGTCACTTTGGCTTCTCCATATGCAGGCTATATTAACTGAATACAATCTCTCAGTCAGTGGCAAGTTTCTGTGTCAATGTGTCAGCTACGCGTACTGAAGCTGCTGACTACTAGCTATTTGGCTGCTGTACGAGGCGAAACCATGGATGTTTCTGTAGCGTTGCTACCTTTTCCTTTTCTTGTTTTTTTGCTGGCTGCAGGGGCCACCTCGTGTGCCTCGTGCGTACATAATGGATGCATTATTGGTGAACGGTGGAGCAGCTACGATTTCTTGGCACCGTCCATCATCATTATTTTCCTTTTTCTTTTTTTGTTTAATTATATGCCTAGCTAGCTAAAGGCTAATAATAATCCTGATGAACACACACACATGGTGCCTGCAGGTAGCAGCTCGATCTATAAATACCTCACCGGTGCATAGCTCGCTTAACCACCAGCAGCAGCACAAGAAGCCATACATATCGCCTTGAGCACACCGTGAGTGTGCCATCTATACCCTGCGTTGGTTTTGCAGTAATTTAGTCGTCGTCATAGTTTGTTTCCTTTCAATTCGCAGGCCACGACAGCACAATCAACTGATCACCTAGATATTCGCAGGTTGCGACTCCCGACCGACGACGATCATGAGCTCCACGGCAGCGGCAGGGGTAGCACCGGAGTGCGGCGGCACCAAGACATCGTGGCCGGAGTTGGTGGGGCTCAGCGTGGAGGAAGCCAAGAAGGTGATCCTCAAGGACAAGCCCGACGCCGACATCGTCGTGCTGCCCGTCGGCTCGCCGGTGACCAGGGATTATCGCCCAAACCGCGTGCGCATCTTCGTCGACACTGTCGCCGAGACGCCCCATGTCGGCTGATAAGCTAGCCGCTGCCTAGCTTCCTTCCGTGCTCCGGAACCTGAATAAATGGATGCATGTCAGTGCATCTGCCGGATAATGGATGTATAAGTGTGTTTCTTCCCTACTATAAACTTATCACTAAATAATGGCATCGCCCTTGCATAAATAAATAAATGTATCGAAATGCCGTCTGTCCTTGAATGAATGAATGAATATATGAAACGGGATCAGTTGCTTGTGTCGACGGCAAAAAGTGGCCGACACATGTAATAGACTTCACCATGAAGTTTCTGGCATCAAGATGGTCAAGAAAGATATTAGAAGAAAAGGGTACAAAAGTATTTTCTCTACCATCTCTCTCTTTGAATATGAGAAATGAACAAAAAATAATCGGTGCGGTGCGTTACGGCAAAGATACACAATTTTATAATGATATTGGACAAATTTTCAAGTTGGTGTTGTCCGTCTGCATGTATACTTACCGAAATTTTTTACTATGGTTAGGGAGGCGTCAGGAAGCGTTAGCTGTGTCAATGATTGGTGGGCCCATATGAGGGAAGGCGTTGAGAGGCGTCAATGAGGGAGGCGTTGGATGTGTCTATGGTCGGTGGGCCCATATGCGCCATAACGCCTCCAAAGTTGAGAGGATTAGGACTTCAAATAAAAGAGTGGTAATTCCTTTCTCGTAGTTATTTTTTTTAATCAAGGGTAAAACGGTAAATGCACAATTATAAAAATAATGTTTTGAGTAGTATAGTTGGGATGTATGATTTAAGTACTATAGTTTGATGAATATTTGCTTTTAAAAAAAGATGAATATGTTTGTCTTTTTAGGGTTCATTCACCGCCGTCGTCCGCCATCCATCCGTGGGAGGACCTTTGTGCGAAACGACCATAATGCCCCTGGACGAATAAAATCAACAAAAATAGCTATTTTGGGTAGGCATCAGAAAGCATCAGCAAGCGTTAGGAAGCATTTCCAACCACTGTAAAAGGGCTCATACTTACCACACATTTCTCCAATATCCTATAGTAAAATTTACTGAAAAACAAACATTTTTAAAAGTTGAGGAGTTAAAAATCCGGTTGTACGAATAAATGGAGGAGTCGGACTATCACAAACTAAAATTGATGTGGCAAAAGAACTGTTAGCCCTGGGTAGGAAAAGACTTGATTGAGGAAGGGGAAAGAATGGCGGACAGAGGAAGATGAGATGTAGTTCAGAACGATGAATGATTAACTGGGTTCAGAGTTTATTACAAATTGTCTATCTCCTTTTGGAGATGTTCTCCAACTTATACCCCTCATGTTACATGCACGCGCACACACACAACGCTTACAAGGCTAGGTACATCCGGTGCTTTTTTTTTATTGAGGGAAAGTCCATTCAGAGCCTGAGGCACGGACCGAGGGTTCGGCCCCGGTCAGGTCGTCCGCACTCTCTACACCGTTAGCGTATATATCTAGCTAGTTTACAGATTGATAGCTTGTTAGAGTACCTATGTTCTCTAAATGTTTTGTAGGCGGCTGTGTGAATCTTGATACGCAAAGGTCAAGGGTTCTCTCAGGATTGTGGATCAATTTGGTGTAGGGATATTGAAAATTAATAGAAACTTCATTTATAGGAAAAAAAAAATTCCGCCACCATACCACAAGCATAGCATTTGGGGTAAATTAATGATACAGCTTTTTAGATCGATGATAGATCCACCATGCACCAATCGGTCGGTCACTTTGGCTTCTCCATATGCAGGCTATATTAACTGAATACAATCTCTCAGTCAGTGGCAAGTTTCTGTGTCAATGTGTCAGCTACGCGTACTGAAGCTGCTGACTACTAGCTATTTGGCTGCTGTACGAGGCGAAACCATGGATGTTTCTGTAGCGTTGCTACCTTTTCCTTTTCTTGTTTTTTTGCTGGCTGCAGGGGCCACCTCGTGTGCCTCGTGCGTACATAATGGATGCATTATTGGTGAACGGTGGAGCAGCTACGATTTCTTGGCACCGTCCATCATCATTATTTTCCTTTTTCTTTTTTTGTTTAATTATATGCCTAGCTAGCTAAAGGCTAATAATAATCCTGATGAACACACACACATGGTGCCTGCAGGTAGCAGCTCGATCTATAAATACCTCACCGGTGCATAGCTCGCTTAACCACCAGCAGCAGCACAAGAAGCCATACATATCGCCTTGAGCACACCGTGAGTGTGCCATCTATACCCTGCGTTGGTTTTGCAGTAATTTAGTCGTCGTCATAGTTTGTTTCCTTTCAATTCGCAGGCCACGACAGCACAATCAACTGATCACCTAGATATTCGCAGGTTGCGACTCCCGACCGACGACGATCATGAGCTCCACGGCAGCGGCAGGGGTAGCACCGAGTGCGGCGGCACCAAGACATCGTGGCCGGAGTTGGTGGGGCTCAGCGTGGAGGAAGCCAAGAAGGTGATCCTCAAGGACAAGCCCGACGCCGACATCGTCGTGCTGCCCGTCGGCTCGCCGGTGACCAGGGATTATCGCCCAAACCGCGTGCGCATCTTCGTCGACACTGTCGCCGAGACGCCCCATGTCGGCTGATAAGCTAGCCGCTGCCTAGCTTCCTTCCGTGCTCCGGAACCTGAATAAATGGATGCATGTCAGTGCATCTGCCGGATAATGGATGTATAAGTGTGTTTCTTCCCTACTATAAACTTATCACTAAATAATGGCATCGCCCTTGCATAAATAAATAAATGTATCGAAATGCCGTCGTCCTTGAATGAATGAATGAATATATGAAACGGGATCAGTTGCTTGTGTCGACGGCAAAAAGTGGCCGACACATGTAACAGACTTCACCATGAAGTTTCTGGCATCAAGATGGTCAAGAAAGATATTAGAAGAAAAGGGTACAAAAGTATTTTCTCTACCATCTCTCTCTTTGAATATGAGAAATGAACAAAAAATAATCGGTGCGGTGCGTTACGGCAAAGATACACAATTTTATAATGATATTGGACAAATTTTCAAGTTGGTGTTGTCCGTCTGCATGTATACTTACCGAAATTTTTACTATGGTTAGGGAGGCGTCGGAAGCGTTAATGTGTCAATGATTGGTGGGCCCATATGAGGGAAGGCATTGAGAGGCGTCAATGAGGGAGGCGTTGGATGTGTCTATGGTCGGTGGGCCCATATGCGCCTATAACGCCTCCAAAGTTGAGAGGATTAGGACTTCAAATAAAAGAGTGGTAATTCCTTTCTAAGTAGTTTTTTTTTTTAATCAAGGGTAAAACGGTAAATGCACAATTATAAAAATAATGTTTTGAGTAGTATAGTTGGAATGTATGATTTAAGTACTATGGTTTGATGAATATTTGCTTTTAAAAAAAGATGAATATGTTTGTCTTTTTAGGGTTCATTCACCGCCGTCGTCCGCCATCCATCCGTGGGAGGACCTTTGTGCGAAACGACCATAATGCCCCTGGACGAATAAAATCAACAAAAATAGCTATTTTGGGTAGGCATCAGAAAGCATCAGCAAGCGTTAGGAAGCATTTCCAACCACTGTAAAAGGGCTCATACTTACCACACATTTCTCCAATATCCTATAGTAAAATTTACTGAAAAACAAACATTTTTAAAAGTTGAGGAGTTAAAAATCCGGTTGTACGAATAAATGGAGGAGTCGGACTATCACAAACTAAAATTGATGTGGCAAAAGAACTGTTAGCCCTGGGTAGGAAAAGACTTGATTGAGGAAGGGGAAAGAATGGCGGACAGAGGAAGATGAGATGTAGTTCAGAACGATGAATGATTAACTGGGTTCAGAGTTTATTACAAATTGTCTATCTCCTTTTGGAGATGTTCTCCAACTTATACCCCTCATGTTACATGCACGCGCACACACACAACGCTTACAAGGCTAGGTACATCCGGTGCTTTTTTTTTATTGAGGGAAAGTCCATTCAGAGCCTGAGGCACGGACCGAGGGTTCGGCCCCGGTCAGGTCGTCCGCACTCTCTACACCGTTAGCGTATATATCTAGCTAGTTTACAGATTGATAGCTTGTTAGAGTACCTATGTTCTCTAAATGTTTTGTAGGCGGCTGTGTGAATCTTGATACGCAAAGGTCAAGGGTTCTCTCAGGATTGTGGATCAATTTGGTGTAGGGATATTGAAAATTAATAGAAACTTCATTTATAGGAAAAAAAAAATTCCGCCACCATACCACAAGCATAGCATTTGGGGTAAATTAATGATACAGCTTTTTAGATCGATGATAGATCCACCATGCACCAATCGGTCGGTCACTTTGGCTTCTCCATATGCAGGCTATATTAACTGAATACAATCTCTCAGTCAGTGGCAAGTTTCTGTGTCAATGTGTCAGCTACGCGTACTGAAGCTGCTGACTACTAGCTATTTGGCTGCTGTACGAGGCGAAACCATGGATGTTTCTGTAGCGTTGCTACCTTTTCCTTTTCTTGTTTTTTTGCTGGCTGCAGGGGCCACCTCGTGTGCCTCGTGCGTACATAATGGATGCATTATTGGTGAACGGTGGAGCAGCTACGATTTCTTGGCACCGTCCATCATCATTATTTTCCTTTTTTTTTTTTTGTTTAATTATATGCCTAGCTAGCTAAAGGCTAATAATAATCCTGATGAACACACACACATGGTGCCTGCAGGTAGCAGCTCGATCTATAAATACCTCACCGGTGCATAGCTCGCTTAACCACCAGCAGCAGCACAAGAAGCCATACATATCGCCTTGAGCACACCGTGAGTGTGCCATCTATACCCTGCGTTGGTTTTGCAGTAATTTAGTCGTCGTCATAGTTTGTTTCCTTTCAATTCGCAGGCCACGACAGCACAATCAACTGATCAACTAGATATTCGCAGGTTGCGACTCCCGACCGACGACGATCATGAGCTCCACGGCAGCGGCAGGGGTAGCACCGGAGTGCGGCGGCACCAAGACATCGTGGCCGGAGTTGGTGGGGCTCAGCGTGGAGGAAGCCAAGAAGGTGATCCTCAAGGACAAGCCCGACGCCGACATCGTCGTGCTGCCCGTCGGCTCGCCGGTGACCAGGGATTATCGCCCAAACCGCGTGCGCATCTTCGTCGACACTGTCGCCGAGACGCCCCATGTCGGCTGATAAGCTAGCCGCTGCCTAGCTTCCTTCCGTGCTCCGGAACCTGAATAAATGGATGCATGTCAGTGCATCTGCCGGATAATGGATGTATAAGTGTGTTTCTTCCCTACTATAAACTTATCACTAAATAATGGCATCGCCCTTGCATAAATAAATAAATGTATCGAAATGCCGTCTGTCCTTGAATGAATGAATGAATATATGAAACGGGATCAGTTGCTTGTGTCGACGGCAAAAAGTGGCCGACACATGTAATAGACTTCACCATGAAGTTTCTGGCATCAAGATGGTCAAGAAAGATATTAGAAGAAAAGGGTACAAAAGTATTTTCTCTACCATCTCTCTCTTTGAATATGAGAAATGAACAAAAAATAATCGGTGCGGTGCGTTACGGCAAAGATACACAATTTTATAATGATATTGGACAAATTTTCAAGTTGGTGTTGTCCGTCTGCATGTATACTTACCGAAATTTTTTACTATGGTTAGGGAGGCGTCAGGAAGCGTTAGCTGTGTCAATGATTGGTGGGCCCATATGAGGGAAGGCGTTGAGAGGCGTCAATGAGGGAGGCGTTGGATGTGTCTATGGTCGGTGGGCCCATATGCGCCATAACGCCTCCAAAGTTGAGAGGATTAGGACTTCAAATAAAAGAGTGGTAATTCCTTTCTCGTAGTTATTTTTTTTTAATCAAGGGTAAAACGGTAAATGCACAATTATAAAAATAATGTTTTGAGTAGTATAGTTGGGATGTATGATTTAAGTACTATGGTTTGATGAATATTTGCTTTTAAAAAAAGATGAATATGTTTGTCTTTTTAGGGTTCATTCACCGCCGTCGTCCGCCATCCATCCGTGGGAGGACCTTTGTGCGAAACGACCATAATGCCCCTGGACGAATAAAATCAACAAAAATAGCTATTTTGGGTAGGCATCAGAAAGCATCAGCAAGCGTTAGGAAGCATTTCCAACCACTGTAAAAGGGCTCATACTTACCACACATTTCTCCAATATCCTATAGTAAAATTTCTTTGAAAAACAAACATTTTTAAAAGTTGAGGAGTTAAAATCCGTTTATGCGAATAAATGGAGGAGTCGGACTATCACAAACTAAAATTGATGTGGCAAAAGAACTGTTAGCCCTGGGTAGGAAAAGACTTGATTGAGGAGGGGAAAGAATGGCGGATGAGAGGAAGATGAGATGTAGTTGAGCGATGAATGATTAACTGGGTTCGAGAGTTTATTACAAATTGTCTATCTCCTTTTGGAGATGTTCTCCAACTTATACCCCTCATGTTACATGCACGCGCACACACACAACGCTTACAAGGCTAGGTACATCCGGTGCTTTTTTTATTGAGGAAAGTCCATTCAGAGCACGAGGCGCGGACCGAGGGTTCGCCCCGGTCAGGTCGTCCGCACTCTCTACACCGTTAGCGTATATATCTAGCTAGTTTACAGATTGATAGCTTGTTAGAGTACCTATGTTCTCTAAATGTTTTGTAGGCGGCTGTGTGAATCTTGATACATAAAGGTCAAGGGTTCTCTCAGGATTGTGGATCAATTTGGTGTAGGGATATTGAAAATTAATAGAAACTTCATTTATAGGAAAAAAAAATTCCGCCACCATACCACAAGCATAGCATTTGGGGTAAATTAATGATACAGCTTTTTAGATCGATGATAGATCCACCATGCACCAATCGGTCGGTCACTTTGGCTTCTCCATATGCAGGCTATATTAACTGAATACAATCTCTCAGTCAGTGGCAAGTTTCTGTGTCAATGTGTCAGCTACGCGTACTGAAGCTGCTGACTACTAGCTATTTGGCTGCTGTACGAGGCGAAACCATGGATGTTTCTGTAGCGTTGCTACCTTTTCCTTTTCTTGTTTTTTGCTGGCTGCAGGGGCCACCTCGTGTGCCTCGTGCGTACATAATGGATGCATTATTGGTGAACGGTGGAGCAGCTACGATTTCTTGGCACCGTCCATCATCATTATTTTCCTTTTTCTTTTTTGTTTAATTATATGCCTAGCTAGCTAAAGGCTAATAATAATCCTGATGAACACACACATGGTGCCTGCAGGTAGCAGCTCGATCTATAAATACCTCACCGGTGCATAGCTCGCTTAACCACCAGCAGCAGCAGCACAAGAAGCCATACATATCGCCTTGAGCACACCGTGAGTGTGCCATCTATACCCTGCGTTGGTTTTGCAGTAATTTAGTCGTCGTCATAGTTTGTTTCCTTTCAATTCGCAGGCCACGACAGCACAATCAACTGATCAACTAGATATTCGCAGGTTGCGACTCCCGACCGACGACGATCATGAGCTCCACGGCAGCGGCAGGGGTAGCACCGGAGTGCGGCGGCACCAAGACATCGTGGCCGGAGTTGGTGGGGCTCAGCGTGGAGGAAGCCAAGAAGGTGATCCTCAAGGA